AGAAAAATTCAGAGGACATTCTCATTTTTTAACTAAAAAATGTAATAACTGGAAGTATTATTTGAAAATCATTCTAGTGATCTGAAGATGCTCGCTGTCACAACCCAAAGTTGTGATTTTTGTTTTGTGTGTGCTTTGGCACTGCTAAATTATTTTCCCGCCAAATTGCAGCTTCTTTGCACGGTGGAGTTTTCTGCTGTAAAGGAGAACCCCAGTGCATGGAGAATTTCCCGTCAATTTGTAGCTTTCTTTGCATGGTGCATTTCTTTTTGCAGCTAAGAAATGCTCGGTGCAAAGAGTTCCTGCCATTTGTATTATAATTCGAGCCCCATTATTGGCTTGCGTTAAATTATTCACACGTGGCGGCTAATGATTGGCTTGCTAGCCGTATAAAAAGCTTGAGTGGTTTCCGCCCAAGTTGGAGGACTCCACGAACACCAGGAGGAGGAGACTTCACGTCTTGTGAAGATCTCTAAGCACTGCGGAGCCTATTGGACCCAGCGTATTTAAAGCAGGCAACAGGGGTCTGATCAGCCTCTAGCCTCTCCCCGTCACCGAGCGCAATCCTCGACGTATCCCTCTCCCTGTGCACAAAAGGACCCACGGAGCCTAGCAAACTTCGTGTGAGTGAATTGTGAGTGAACAAAAGGACCCACGGAGCCTAGCAAACTTCGTGGGAGAGAGAATAAACGGACCCACGGAGCTTCAACAACTCCGTGGGAGAGAGCGAGCTTGTCGTAGTCCTCAAACGAGGATTTAATCGGAGCTGTGCCTGGAAAACTGTCCAGCCTACACCGCGACCATCTTCGGTGTAAGTAAACAATCTTTAAATAAACCATTACGCGTCCGTGCCTAATTCTAGCGTGCCGCCTGTTCTCTCTGACCCCGCGTGCCCGGGCTGCTGGCCACAGCCCACGCAGAGCACAAAAAGGGCCCGGATTGCTCCCGGCCCGCGCACACGCCAGAAACAAAACTCTTGTTAACAGGAGATCGCAGGGATAGTCTTTATAGTGCTAAGCAGTTTCTATAAATTATTTTTCTAAGAATTCATTCAAGTTATTTTATATCTTGAGAGAAGAGAAGAGATGCTGTGCTAATATATTCTTGTAATTCCATATTTTACATGGATTGCTTAAAATCTGAAAGTGGCATTTAAAATCTAAAAATCCAGTACATTCATAATAGTCTTATCACCTGTACTTGAGAAAGTTTATATTAGGAAACACTAAGCTGGTCCAAAGGATGTTGTTGTCATGCAAACATACCTGTGTTTTGAAACTACAATCAAGTTGCTGAATAGCAGCTCTGTCTTACAAATAAGTGAAAAAATACAACGTTCTTTTAGAAAACCACTTTAAATATAGATAAAAGCTTAACTCAGTTTCAGGAATGCTAAAAAGCAACATCAAAGCAATAAGGCCATTAAACCACACATCACCTCAGATCTTGCTAAGCAAATCTAATGGAAGAGGCACCTTTTAAGGAATAAAGCTGAGACTTGTAGGAAAAAAGTGTACAACTTTTTTTTTCGTACACTGAACCCTCATTGTGAGTTCAAACATTACTGTTAGTTATAACAGAAAGTTATCAAGAGCCTTTTGGAATTCATAATAGGTCCCTACAACAGTGCTAGTATCAGTAACACATGTATACTAGCATAAATATATGCATTTTTTAGCAAGTGAATCATAACACCATTTTGGTATGGACAAATGTCCATGTTAGCCACTTTAAAAGGGGAGGGAAAACATACATCAACTGTTTTATAGACCTGTGTGAATAGGCAAGTTTTCAATTTGGATTCAGCCGATCAGAGGACAGTGATTTGATTCAGAGATTTGGATAACTGTCCCAAATCGATTTGGCCAAATCGGCTTTGGAATATTCCCCACTGATTCAGAGAGATTCGGTGATTTGGCCATAGACTATAATGGGGAATCACTGATATACCTATAACTTTGTCATTTTTTGGCAGATTTGGATGAAAACATCAGGGATGGTAGCCCCTTCTGAGGGCATGAAGCATGCCAAGTTTCAAGGAAATAGGTGCAGGGGTTTCTGGGAAAATGCACCTCAAGCTTCTGAAAGCAAAACTCATGTGCCCCCCAAGACTAAGGTGGCACCAGTTACCCATGCACTGAATAGTTGGAGAAATATGTCTTAGCAAGCTCTTGGGTTTAAAAACCCTTTGTCAGGCTGAGGAAGCACCTAGTTGGTGTGTGTGTGCTTTTTGTAGATGGAGTGAATAGTGAAGTAGTCAGAGGCTGGCATGCAATGCAGGAAAGAAAGCCAGTCAGTGAAAATATAGCTGAGGTGTCAGGGGGTGAGGGACAGGCCAGGGAGGGGGGCGGTGAAGAGGGGATGTAGCAGGTAAAAGTGGAGAGGTACCTGGGGAGTTGGATGTTGGGCAGCTTATAGTGTGTCATAAATCCAATGTCTCTATTGAGTCCATGAGTTTCTGTATCTAGGAGGTTGACGAAGTGCAGTTCATAGGCTTGTCTGTGAAAAGTGGTTTCTGAATTCCCTTTGAGGATAAGACCTGAGAGATTGGAGACAGAGTGGCTTTCCTGTGAGAAAAGTCTCCCCCAGGTTGTTGTGTATTCTTGTCTGTAATAGATTGGATTAGTATGTTGGCAGGTTTTGCATTTCTTATCATGGCATGGTCTAGATCAGGGGTAGGCAACGATATTTGGCCAGAGTGCCGAAAAAAACCACAATGTCTACCTTGGAAAGTGCCAGTGCGCCAATATGTCAGAACCTGGAGCAGCTGTTTTCAGCCTCCCAGCTGCAGCCGGCCCATGGAGCCCAGTCTGCTTGCAGCAGGGCTTGCAGCCTCCCAGCCAGCTGCTGGGAATAGCCAGGGCTCCATGGCTGGCAGCAGCTATTTAGAGCCCGGGCTGGCAGTGGTGTGCCAAGCAAAATGGTTTTGCGTGCCATGCTCGACACGTGTGCCAGGGGTTGCTGACCCCTGGTCTAGATCCATTCAGTGTGTTTTGGGCTGCAGACAGAGGCTTATATGCTGTTTCTACGTCCCTCCCCCAGAGCACTGTGATTGGAAAGGGACTCAGGGAAACATCACAGTCACTGGCCAGCTACAGATGTAAGTCTCCCTGCCCCGTTTCCCCTCTCTCTGCTCAGTTTCTCTTCCCCTGCAAGACTGCTTTCTGAATGTCCAAATATTTTCCAAATATTTTCCGAATCGATTAGGAGGCTTTTTTTCCCTCCTGATTCAATTCGGGTTGGTGATTCAGTCTCCGAATCAGGCTGAATCTTCTCTGAATCTAATCAGTGACTGAAGCTTTACCACACCCCTACTGTTTTAGTCTGTTATGTCTACATGATCCTATAGCAGTAAATATAAATTGCCCTTACTTTCTCCTTGAATGAAGTAAGTTAATGTTGTAGTGATTTTGCTGCATTTGTATCACTACAGAATCATGCAGATATAATAACTGCATTTTAACAGTTTATATTGGTTTTCTCTGCATATCAATACACTTGTATCTGTCTTTCTTTTCTCTCCAAGGACTAAAGATTTAGAACTTGCTAGGGTTTTAAAATTTGTTTATGTTTGAGATAATATGGTTGCACTTGAATTTATGATAGTCAGCTTATTTTTCCTTTTCAAAACTGAAATGTCATAAAATCTGCTGGCCAGTTAATACTTATAATATTTATTCATTACTTCATTCATTCATTGTATTAGAATCCAGAAAACTATGCAATCAAGTATTTCTTTTGTAAAGTAAACCTTTTCAAATATAGCTTTAATTTGGTCAGAAGTTTTTTCCATCTTCCTAGTGTCTGAGTAATAGTCATTAGCATAAAACAGGAATCATCTGTAGCCAGAACACCACTGAAGACGTCCAGAATTGTAAACATAAACTATGACAATTTGAATGAAAACTGTATATAACAGCTCCTACCCTCTTTGAATTTGGACAGTGCTTTCAAATGCACTTTAAGACATTTGTAGGGACTTTCAAACGTGCTCAACAGCAGAATTTATTAGAGTAGCTCTTTGCCTGGGGCAACTGCCATATGCAGGTAGGTCAGTGCCAGCTTCTGGGCTGCCAGTTGTAGTGGCATGTCCAGCTCTCACTGTGGAAGCAGCAGCCTTTTATGCCCCTTCCCCCCAAGGTGGCAATGAGGGCTGTTACCTCAGTTGCACCTCCCACATCTCTCCATTACGCTACTGCTGACCAGCAGATTTCATCCCCACCCCTCTGAGAGCCCTTTGGGTTATGGTCTGTCCTTTCAAGAATCTCTCTTCTGCAGTTATGCCTTCTTGTTCCTTTTTCTGTCACCACAATACACTCTTCTTAGTTTGTTCAGGTCTGGCTATGAACAAGTTTGCAAAGCTCAAAGATTGTGGGTGCTGACAGACTCCCCGGTCTAACTCATGGCCCTGCCCAGAAAATGCCACGAGTTAGATTGACCCTCCTGATCCAACAGATGTTTGCTCTTGGAGGATGGGTGATTGAGATTCACTTTGGAGCTGATCTGGGGAGTGAGGCTGTGTGTCTGCAGTGTCTGTCCCCTAGCCTCATGCTCCTTTCTAAGCTCCCATGCTGTCTCAGGATGGGAGGGGGAAGGCATGGGAGAGGGGATCCATTCTGGGGTTTCCCCAGCTTACTCTGGAGTGGGGGTGGTGGGTGAATTGGAGTCCCCAACCTTGACAGGGCTCCAGTCCACCTGCCCTACCCTCCAGCACTGGCTAGGCAACCCCAAGACTGAACTCACTCCCCTCCTTTCTCCCCCTTCCATTCTGAAGACAACGCCCAGAGCAGGGCTGGACTGTCAGCCCAGCCCTGTTCCTGGTGTGCGCTGACAGATGTTAATGAAGGCGCTCCATTTTGGAGCGCTTTCATCTCAACCCTCATACAGCAAGGGTTCAGATTGTCACATGATTGGGGATTTTTAAAGCACTTTGAAGCCATGCACTTCTGTCAGTACGTGGCTGTAGAGTGCTTTCAGTGGCCAATCGCACAACAAACTGTCATGTCTGTCAGTGCCCAGAGTGTATCTTTAACAGCAGCTTCTTACATCTTTCCTTTGTTCTCTTTTTATGCTGGGAAATTTCCATTGCTCTTGTCTCTCCCTGTAGACAACCTGCAGAGAAATCAGTTTCCTTTAGCTTAGCCCACCTCTTCAGTATATTCATTGTTCTTCCAGGTCAGAGTAGTTCCATGTTAACTATGCTTTTCGATTGTAACTGCTTCGATTGCTCTTCGATTGTAACTGCTTCCAAAGTTTGTGATACATGACATGGTCCCTGTTAGCAAATGGCTGAGCCAATATACAGCAAGGTTTAGACTTAGGCGCAGAATTCATAGAAATTCCAGAAGTTATAGGTATTGTGTAGGCAGATTTCCTGAACTAACATTTTAAGGTAGTGTAAATACAATCTGATTTAAAAAAAAAAATTTGATTGTTCTGGTGGTTACTGATAAGAATACCTTCCTCTACAGAACCAGACATAACCTAGTTCTACTTCCTTAAGGCTTCTTTCTAAATTAAATTGTAAATAGTTATAATTTTTTGGCAGCTCTTTGGTATTGACTTTACTTTTCCATTTTAGGAACGCAGATAATTTGTCTCTCAACAGGTTGTGGAAATCTCAGACCTTCACCTGAATTTTGTCCCTCAGATGCAACCCTTCCAACTCTTTGGTAGTATACCTCCATTAAGGCTGTCCTATTAGAAATGCTTTATTGACTACGAAGACTGCCAGGGATCTCTGATGGTGAGGTAGCTCCATGGAAGATGTGCAAAATGTGTTGAAGCTGTGTTAAGACTTCATGGCTAGATTCCAAAGGAATGGAAGGAGGACAGTGTGCTTTCCTGCACGTTCCTTGGGAAGTGCCTTAGACTGGATGGAGAGGACTTCACAAGGGATGTACAAAGGGAGGGTGCTACCAAAGAGGCTGATTCACTTTTCTGAGAAGTTGCATGATCCATATATGGCTCAGAGGAAGTGTTTTGTCATAGTCTAACCCCCAGAATGAATCAGGAATTCTGAATGCAAAGCAACGAACAGCTTCTGGAGATGCAAGCTTTGGGAGGTGGGAGGGTGTTGTTTTTCCTAATATATAAATACTGCACAATACTAATCCTAGTAAAGTCAACCAGTTCATTAGTTCATAAAATGATATTTTCATTTTTGAGCCATTTGGGTGTACAATATTTTGACAGAAAAAGAAACCAAGCAAACTGCAAAAGTAACACTTGTCAAAATCTGACTTTACCGTTCCTATTTGTTTGGAATTTATTGTTCAGACACTAGAATCTTAGTTACTTTTTTTGTCTGATCCTTTCATGCCATTACATATTGACTGTTCTCTGTATTTAATAATAATTATTATTAATGTGTATTTAATAATGGTTCCTGAAGTTAGCATACAGTGAAGGGTTTATTAGTAGGCTTTAACAATGAGAGTTGGTGGTATGCTGGGAGAACTTCCAGATTTACAGATTCATTGTAGTTAACAAATTACATTGTAAAGTGTGACTTTTGTGATTAGAAATGCTTTTTCCACAGGGAAAATGTATATTCCTTTCAAAATATAATAAATGATAACCTTCTTTTACATATCAGAAGCCTAAGTTTGTAAAACTTGTCCTTTTTATAAAATGAAAGTGTTCACATGAATGCTGATTCAGTATAGTTTAAGATGTGCAGTGGTGTATGACATAATGTGGATTGAGGGAAGTATGATTCAAGCAAAATGGAAGACAGATGAGCTGAAAGGCAGCTCAGTGAAATTCTGCTCCTCTCCTACTGGTCACATGTTGGTTGCAGTGGGATTTAAGCACCAGGAAAAGAAGAAAATTCATGTCCTGCTTTTGAATTTTCAAAGAGAAATAAGCTTACTGGTATTTTTTGTGCATTCTCATTCTACTGATTGCTCTTTTAATTTAAACGTGTTTTTGAGCCATAGGTTATTGAAATAGTTACTCTGTCTTCTGAAGTTAATAGAAATTATAGCTGTGGTTGTGGTATTTGTGTTTTTCCCTTTTTGTCATTGTCTTCTATTGTAATACCTGCGGACACAGCCTAGAAAGCCTTGAAAATTTACTAGTAATCGGTATGATTCTGCTTCATCCTTCCCTTCCAACTTCATTTGAATAAAAATGCCACATTTTTTCCCTATGAAATTGATACTAGCTAATGCTTTCCTCTTTTTTCATGACTGCATTTTTAGCACTTCCTTAGCTTTTGAGAGTTTAAATCTCCCCATGGATAAATATGAATATTCAAGTACATGCTATTTAAAATATTTAATGTTACACTCTTCCCCACACTTATACAGATAATAAAAACATCCTTTTCATTTGAAAATGTTCATCTAAAAATCACCTTAAACTTTCCACATAAGGAATGGACCTGTAATGCTGCATACTTTTTTTTCTACTTTTTCCAGCTAAGAGTATAAATCTGATAGATACAGAATATCACTGTCCCTTTTTTCTGTCATGGTAGGATTAGCCAGTGGATGATGTAAGTTGGCAAGACTTCCATGTTAGAAATAGAAGCACATTTTGTTCACAGTTTATACTGCTTTCCTTTATAAATGGGTTTTAAAGGAGTAATGATGATTAAATATGTAATAGGCCTTGGTAGGTGATTATAAACAATCTACTGGTCCCTTGGACTCTGCAATACTTGATTAACTATTAACATTTATATTAATCATAAATTATTTATAAATAGACCCAAATATGAAGTGTTCCAAACTCTGCATAGACTCTGCAGTTCATATTTTTTTCCTGTTGAAAATAAAGTAGAAGCTTTACTAATATGCCAGGGGCCTAGGTCTGTATCATTTGGTTTAAGATTGAAGTAAAAACAACTATAACTTAATCTGAGTGAGTTAAAAAAAAATCTGCAGGGCTGTGAAATAGGAGCTTCATTACCAGGAACATCAAACAGACAACAGAAATGTAAAACAAAGCAGATGGCAGAGATTTCAGAATTGTAGAGCATCAAGATCATTAAAAAGAAGAGAGGATTATTAACACCAGTGGAATGAAGAATTTAGGAGGGATCAGGTGGATTATAATGACACATGAAGTCATTTGACTTCCTCAGCACTGTCTAACTAGAAATGCTGCTTCTACTGCCAGGCAGTTGGTTTGAAACTTGGTGGGGGACCAGGACTCAAAGTGGGATGCAAGTACACCAGTGTACCCCCCTGGATCTGCCCCTGGACCCTGGTGCCAGTGTACTGCTAGCTTTACCCTTGCTATGATACTGGTGGCACCTTAGAGACTAAATCAGGGAGGTATAGATAAAACAAAAATTCATAAATAAAAGACTTACTTCACTGCTTCTGATGAAGTAAGCCCTCTGCTTTAAAAAGCTTATGTTATACATCTTTGAGTTAGTCTATAAAATATAAATCTACCCTACCTTCTGCCATAACTTTATGGGCAAAGTTATGAAATGCTTTTGTAGATGAAGAACTGGACTCTGATCTGATAATACCAGACATACTATAGGGGTGCTGCTCTGCAAGTGCTGGATTGGGGGAGGCCCATAGGCTTCCCCTGCTCTGCAGCTTTAAACATGTGCTCCTGCAGGGGCAGTCCAGAGTGCAGGTCTTGGGGAGTTCAAAGGCTTTCCCCACTCTGTACCTTTAAACTTGCATTCTGGGCAGCACTGTCAGGGCTACCCTGCATAAGTTTAAGGCTGCTGGTGTATTTGGAGCCCATAATCACGATCCTGGGCTACACAGATGCTGTGGGAAGTGGGGTGAGGTGGCACAGGTAGCCTGATGCTGGGCTACCTCTACCAACAGGTATGTGATTTGGATCTGATCCTCGATCTCAAAACCACATGCCCTGCCCTACACATGTAGCATGGCAGGATGCATGATGCTTTGGATCAGGGCTTAAGTCCCATCATGCCACTATAAGAACTTTTGCCAGGGCCCTGTGTATTTAAAAAAGAAATGTAGTCTCTTTTCTTTGTTTGTTTTGGAAGTGGGAAGATAGATTTGAAAGCATCTAATGTACTGTGCATAGAAGCAGTTAATTTGACATACTTTTCAGATTAGGCCATTATAAACCAATGTCAATGGTGCATAACACATGTATGGCTTGAACTATTGCAGTTTTAAACAGAATCTGAATTAGCTGAATCTGAATTATAGAAACAGTAGTGTGGTTTGGTATCTAAACTAATTGTACACAGTTGTAAACTAATTGGTATCACAGCCATCTCCTTATGTTTTTGTTGGGATCTTTGTATGATTTTTTTCGGCTAAGTATAGACAGTCAAAAGCTTGAGGCTGAATTGATTCAGTCTTCGCAAGTTAGTCCAAATTGCAAAGATTGAACCAATAAGCAAATGAACAGACATTCACTTTTGATTCAGGAAATGCAGCCACGTGTCTGCAGTGGCTCAAGCCAGAAGCTTGGGGGTGCTAGAGTACAGCTCTCTGGCGCACAGCCAGCATGGACTGTGTGTTAGCTTTTTCTTCCTGCTACCTCCAAAGTCTCTGGGATTTGTACTCCACAATTGCAGCAGCAGGACTCTGCAGGGGTGCTTATCACTTCTTCCTGCTTCCAAGTGCCTCTGGGATTTGTAGTCCACAGTTGCAGCCAGCACTAAGTAAGAAGGGCAGGGCAGCTTGGTATTTGGGGGAAGGGAAGTTTAACTCCTCTCCTTGGCTCCAGATCCCAGCCAGGGTTTGCCGGGGGGGGGGGGGGGGGGGGGGGGGGCTGCAATGAGCTGGCCAGTGAGCCACCCCTCACTGCTCCAGGTAGGGAGCAGAGGGGAGGGGCCAGCCTTGGTCTCTGGAGCAGATAGCACAGCCCAGTCCATGGCTGCAAGGTGCTGGGATGCTGGGGGACTCTGATCTAACTTGAACAAGGAAGGGGTCTGGGACAGAAGTTTCATGAACTGGTTTGACCCAAATTAAGTGAAATCTGATGCTACAGTCAACCAGGTTTATCTTAAACCAGTTTCAGCCACTTTGAAACTGGTTTATATGCATTGAACTTCTATTCTGTTATAGGTTTAAACCAGTTTCTGATCACTTGAACCAGTTTATGTGAATCTTCTGTCCCTAGCTGTGGCAATGAGATGACGGATCATGGGGCTGAAACTGGAATTGTTAGCTGCAGCTTAGCAGAATCCACTCTGGCACAGTCAGATTGCCTGTCTGACTTACCTGCAGGCATGCTACAGGGGAGTTCTGCACGGCGGCGCCACAACACTGATTTGTAAGCTTGTGCTCCTTCCAACTCCACAAGCACACAGAAAATGATCTTAGGGAACCGCGCCATGCTTAAAAGGAGAAGCGGCCGTGCACAGGGAGAGAGGAGGAGAGCCGGGGGAATGAGCCCAGTATGGAGGAGAGCCAGGCGATCCAGCCTGGTATACTGAAGAGCTGGGTGAGCAAGACTGGTATAGGGAAGCCAGACCAAGAGGCAGGACTCAGAGCCAAGAGGTGATGTTGGGAAGCAGAGCCAAGTACAGGGAAGACCACTGGAAGACCAAAGCCAGTGCAGGAAGGGTATAGGTACTAGGCCTGTGCGAAGCAGCTAGCATTCACTTCAGATTTGGATTCAGTCAATTTGGGGGACAGTGATTCGATTTGGTGACTCGAACCACTGTCCTAATTCGATTTGGCCAAATCTGATTCAGAGATTTGGCTGCTGCCGAATCTCTGAATGAGCCAGGCCCATCCCCTGCCCACTCTCCCAGTCCGGCAATGGCTGCCCCACCTGCCCCAGGTCCCGGCACTTGTTAAAAAAGAAAAAGCCCCAACTCAGCGGGTGCTGCCAGGTGGGGGGGGTGATCCCCACTGCCCCACACTGCCCCCCCACTCTCCCAGCCCTCCCACAGGTGCCCCACCCAGGCCAGCTCTGGCCCTTTAAGAAGAACCCCCCCCCCCCCCCCCAAAAAACACCCCGAGCCTACCCACCACTCCTGCAGCAGCCTTGGGGCTTCCGGGGGCTTGTGCAGAGCCTCCCACGTGATGGGGGGCAGTGGGGATCACTTCCCGCTGGCATGACTGGTGAGTCTGGGGGTTTCCTGTACTATCTTGCTGAGCTTCCTTTGTCACTTTGAAGAGTGCTGTTGAGGTATAAAGTTTCATTTTCTATGCCCTCTGTATTTTTGCCTTTCTGCTGTGACCTGTAATAAAGGAACAAAGTGTAATAGTGGGTTCATGATCTGAGAATTTGTTTAGGATTAGTTAGACCCCAGAAACTCATTTCATATAACCATCAGACAGCAATGGTAGCAACTTCTGGTATCTATGAATCAAAGTAGGACTGAGAGACTTTGAGGGATGAAAGATTCTGCTACATATAATCTCTCTTTGAGAAATGCAGGTATCACTCTTCAGTCTTCCTGTTAAGAAACAAAAAGGTGTCTTTCTCTTGCTGTAGTAGTAATAAATGCTGGGTCTCTCTTTCTTTTCTATTTCTCCACCTGTGCCATGGTAGAAGTGTTCTGCATTAAAAGATGTGTTATTGAGGACTGTGTCAGTAAGCTTCATTGCTCTGGGGCAGCAGTTAGCCGACATAAAATTGTGTAAGAATCCTTTGCACTTCAAAATGC